TGGGTTTCAGATTCTGGTTTCAGAAACTTTGACAAAACTTTTTTTATAAATTACACCAGATTCTATATTATTTCAGCATTCATTAAAAGAATATTTCACTTTTCGTCTGTTGAGGTTAAGCGTTTCCCGTACAATGTCCGACAAACTTTTCCCGAGTATTATTCGGAAAGGTTGATTTATTTTCTATAAGATGCCGAGAGTGAAACTCATCCTACATCATTAGATTTGTCTGTGGTAGGATTATCTATGTATGAGGTTTAAAATCCTCAGTTACTAGCAAAATAATGATTTGTGTCAAGTACACATCTTATAAAAGTACATCTTTCGATTCATTTTCTCGAAACTGTGCAATCCTCAGGCTGCATGCATCTTAAAATATCGCATGCATTTTTATTTATTTGACGATAAAATGCAATTAATTGCATCATTAAATGAAATTAGACACGCACCGATCCTACATCTGAGTCGATCATGCTCGGACTTGGATTAGTTTTGAGAAAAAAAAATATTTGAACTATTTCACATAATAACTATATTACTTTTTAGCATTCTAAAAGCTCTGTGACTTCTTTGGATTTACATGCGAGAAAATTTATGAATAATTATAAAGTACTTTAGATGTCTTGAGAGAAAAAGTGCAACAGTGGTTAAAAGTATATTTTTTATTTAGCTAAAAAATTTATTCAAATGAGTATCTTCAAACGTTCAATGTTGTATTTAATCTATTATATATGTTCTAAATCATTTCTTTAATAATTGCTTCATATTAACATGATTGTACTTATAGTTCTCTTTTTCTCTTTATCATTTGTTTTTCTAACAATGATACGAGAGTAAATGTACTTTTGATCACCAAACATATTTAAATACAAATGATCACCAACTTTTTCAGCATGCATCTCACATTTTTATTTCTCAACAAAGTACATATTCATTGAGAATTTAACCAAATGAACAATATTTTTAAAATTTTATTTATATCCATTTCAAAAATTTAAAGCTGCGCTAACTTTCTTGGAACGCCCTTTTGCGTTGCGTTTGCCTAATGACTGAATACGTGTTTTATCGCTAACTTGATACTAGTTAAATAAAAATTAATAATCGAACAGAATGTTTACACGAATATACTAATAAGAGTACAACAAGCGAACAAGATTCTTGCCACACCAGAAAACTATTGAATATATATTATTGGCTAGATATTTATCCTTCTCGTCGGTGGGTGATATTCAATGGTTTTCTGGTGTGGCAAGAATCTTGTTCGCTTGTTGTACTCTTATTAGTATATTCGTGTAAACATTCTGTTCGATTATTAATTTTTATTTAACTAGTATCAAGTTAGCGATAAAACACGTATTCAGTCATTAGGCAAACGCAACGCAAAAGGGCGTTCCAAGAAAGTTAGCACAGCTTTAAATTTTTGAAATGGATATAAATAAAATTGTAAAAATATTGTTCATTTGGTTAAATTCTCAATGAATATGTTTGTATTGTACATTGTACTTTGTTGAGAAATAAAAATGTGAGATGCATGCTGAAAAAGTTGGTGATCAAAAAAATTGATATCCACGATACGAACACACAATTATGTGCTTGAAAGTAAAACATTGTATTTTGAATAAATTCAAAACGTACTTTATAGCAGTGTTGTATTTGCTGATGCATGACTCCATGGACTATTTTACTCTATTAGTAGTAAAAGTTCTATACTGTAACTGGGCGCAAAAATGACTGTTATGCTTGAAATTTTTTATGTTTTACCTGCTTTTTTCTGATCGGTACAGAAAAAGTAGATTCTTAGCACATCGCGCTCTTTTTCCTCTTTATCTCATTAACATCTTACTCATTCTCAATGGATCTTCAGAATCATATAGCTGACCATCGTTCTTTGAGTGAACAATCTACGGACCGTACAGAGTGTTTATCCCTCTCTTGCGGAGAATAAAAGACGTGATATTCTATTTTCTATCAAGTCGATTTTTGACGAAGAATCATAGAGAAAGCGTCAAAGAAAATCGTCGGCAGTGGTCATACGGGGGGTACAAAATTTTTCTTATACATAGTCTGACAGAAGAAAGTGCTTACTTCACAATGAGACGTTTTCGAGAATTTTCCGATGAGTTTTCTTAGGGATATAAGCATCGTGACAAATGTCCTGAAAAAAGGGGCTGCAAAATACGTTTTTCTCGAAAACTATTTTTTTGCTAGAAGGGAAAGATCTTAAAACAATTTCCAGAAATATACATCCGCGATATGACCTCGAGTACTTCGGGTAAAATTTTTAACTTGATCGAATGAAATTTAAGCATATTGTAATGTGGCCTAATGAAAAGCCAAGTTTTCTGGAAAACTGGTGAACGGCAATAGTTAAAAACTATTAAGGGCGCCATAAACAAAACGAAAACGGGCTTCATTGAGCTTCCAATTAATTCTGAAAATAAGAAGCCTTAATTACTTTTAGTTTTTATTTCACAGCATTTCTACGGAAAGTTTAAAAAGAGGGGTGGGATACCTTTAACTGATGATTTCTTCTCTAACCAGTTTTTCGGAAACTTTGAAAAATAATTAAAACTTTTCTTAATAAGGCACAATTGTAGCGTGCACATTTCTGATTAAAATGAGACATCCCCAGCTCTGCACGATCTTTCTTTGCAAAGTTATAGAATTTATAAGAAAAGCCCTAAATGTTCATTCACTAAATGCTCAAATCTACAGAAATAAGAAGAAATTAATTTTGGGCTTTTCTTATAAATTATATAACTTTGCAAAGAAAGAGTATGTGGAGCTGGGAGATGTCTCCTTTTAATCAAAAATGTGCGGGCTACCATTATGGCTCATTAAGAAAAGCATTGGTTATATTTTAGAGTTTCTGAAAACCTGATTTTCCAAAACTGGATCACTGGAGACCTATAGACAATTGCCATGATCATATTCAGAATCAGTATAGTCGATAACCTATAATCCAGTATGTCTTATTGAAAGAACGATTTGACAGTTAAATTAATTGACAATTAAATCGATTCACATTTTATTTTCTGAGCTTTTCTATCTTGTTGCATACTATCTGGTGAAGTCGTTGAACTTCAAAACGATGTATAAACGTGAAATTTGATACGGCTTAATCCTAACTAATCATCTATTAAGTATAATAACTATTAATATTTAGTTCATTCGTTGTTCATATGATGATATTGAAAATCTACGAACAATATACAATTTGATGAAAACTGATCATGATAATAAAGAACCAAAATTGATAATTAGCTGTTATGGTGGTGCAAAATATTTTACAATGAATGAAGATTTAGAAAATGAATTTCTTAGAGGCATGGCTGAAGCTGCAACAACAAGTGGTACGTCAATCAATTTATCGGATAATTGAACATAAAATGTTCATCTTTGTAGGTACATGGATATTAACTACAGGCTTAAATAGCGGTGTATCAAAGTTTATTGGTGAAGGTATAGCTCGATTTATATTGTCTACAGATCATCCGAAGAAAACGACTATGATTGGTCTTACAAAATGGGGAACATTAACGGAAAAAACGCGAGCAATATTAAAACTTGAAGTAAATATTTTGTTTTGGTCATCATTAAAAGATTTTTGTTGATTCTATGCTATCGATGCTAAATAGAAGAGCTTGCTTCTGTTTCAGATTAAAACCAATATTGTTCGAATCTTTTTTAAAAAAAGACGAAAACAAAAGAATTAGCATTCTATGAATGAGAGCCTTGTGATAGCGTACATCTTTACTTATCGAAGAGTGAATATATAAACTAAGGTAGCATGAAATACAAATAACTTGATAATATGAAATGTATCATGGCTACTGTTGAATAATACGTAGGACATTATGCGTATTTAGATAATTACTCTATATAACTGTCAGAGACTGAAACAGGTCAACCAAACGTGATCCGAACCCGACCCGGCTCAATGTCTTAGACGTTGGTTCGAATCCGACTCGATCCGAACGGACCCGAAAATTTTGCAGTTGTGACCCGAACTAGACCCGAAACATGAAAATATTTTCGTACACATTCGCAAAGAAACACTTCTTTCCTATAGAAAAGTTATCTTACCAGGGAACCTGTCCAGGTGTCCAACCGCTTTTCTAACGAAATGACCGGTAATCGACCATGCTGATTCTGAATATGATAGCTGTTTTTGCCCATAGGCCTTTCCTAACCGGTTTCTGACAAACTGGTTTTCCAAAAACCTCAAAAGATCCTCAAGAGTTTTTCTAAATAAGTCGCAACTGTAACCCGCGAAATTCTGATTAAAAGGAGACATCTTCCAGCCCTACATGACCTGCCTTTGGAAAGCTATAGAATTTACAAGAGCCCTAAATCCTTATTGTCATCTCAGAGCTACAGAAATAAGAAGAAAAGATGAATTTAGGGCTTTTCTTGTGAGTTCCATAACTTTACAAAGAAAGGTCATGCAGAGCTGGGAGATGTCTCCTTTTAATCAGAATTTCGCGGGCTACAGTTGTGACTTATTTAGAAAAAGTCTTAGGGATTTTCAAGGTTTTTGGAAACCAGTTTCCCAGAAAGGCCTATAAGCAAAAACGGCTATCATATTCGAAATCAGCATGGTCGATTACCTATCAACTACCGCATTTCGTTAGAAAAGCGGTCGAACACCTAGAAAGGTTCCCCCGTTAGTCAGATTGTTTTGAAATGTTTTCAGAAAGATGGTCAGGTTCCTTACGGTTTCTGTCATTTTTTCCTTTTATAATTGGAAAAGTTTGGTAATTGATATAAGCTTTATTCTTTCAGAATACAAGCGGAAAAATATTCCATTATTGTATTTTAAACTAAAACTATCGAAAAACACAAAATCAATTTTTGTACGAATAGTGAGAGATTCGAACACATAAACATAGCTTTGCAGTAAACTGTAAAACTAAATTCACTGTTCTGTGTCTATATTCTGTACAACGACTGAAGTTGTGCAATCGACTCGATGTTATCAGTAGTAATTTCTTTTGGTATGTTTTTTGTGTTTTGTTTGTTTGGTAATTCAGGCAGTTTATTTTGTATTGGCCTGAGTTAGATCGAAACAGGACCCGAACGTGAGTTGATCCGACCTGAATCAATATCTTCTACGTCGGCCCGAACCCAACCCGACCCGTTTTGGTCTCTGATAACTACAAAAAGTGAAAACAACTCTGTACGTCATGAAGACACTTTTTTCCGCAATAACTACAGATGTTTGTACAGCCGAGTTCAGATCGACAAGCTCTACAAAATGAGATTGATCCTAC